TGTGTACATGTGTCTTTGTTTCTCTCTGTTTCTCTTATGTCTCTCTGTTTTCCTCTTCTTTAAGCAATAAATGTCTCCCTCTTCTTTAAATAATACTATGTCCTGTGAGCCTTTTATCCACCGTAACCGCCCGCTTGACTCCCCCAGCCGCATGGTGCTGCCACCCTGGAGATCTTACAGGGACCCACAGCCATCCTTGTCGGACTAGGAGCTGCTCCGCGAGCCGCCCGGGGCATCCCAGCATCATATTATTTTTAAAGAACAGTACTAGGGGGATCTGGATTTATCCAGGTCTTTCAGGACCCATACCTGAAGCTGCTGGAGTGACCGAGAACCTGAAAAAAGATATCCCTGGGACCAAGGTAGACCAGGGTAAATCCAAATTTTTTTAAAAAACAAAAACAAACAAAAAAAGTAGCAATAAAATGACTCTTAATGGCATTCTGCATACTTATAGATCAGTACCTAGTTCATCAGGGAAGCTCCAGGCTGCAGCAGATGGGAACAAATACAGAGGCTCCCGGCCAGAAAGTATGCAGAGAATGAGAGGCTCTGGGCCAGAAACCAATTTCTTATCAAATCCCTTTCCTCGGGGCACAGGGAAGGATGTGGAAAGACTGCGAGAGCCTGAGGGGATGGAGGCCACCAAGAAAACAAGGTCCTCCCAGTCAACAGACTCAAAGCTGATAAGAACTCACAGAGACTGAGGCAGCGTGGCTCGGGGCCTGCAGGGGTCTGCACCAGGTCCTTTTTGTGTGAAGATTATGGCTTCCACTTAGTATTTTTGTGGGATTCCTGGGTGTGAGAATGAGTGGGCCTGTCTCTTACGCCTTCTCTTAGGCTCTTTTCCTTCTATTTCCTTGTCTTGCTGAATTCCAATGTGTTGGTTTTTATTGTAATATAATCAATGATATTATATCATTATACTCTCCTAGAAACCTATTTGTTTTCTGACGGGAGACAGAGAATGGATGTGGGTAGGAAGTTAGGTGGGGAGGATCTGGGAGAAAAGGAAAGGGAAACCAGAATCAGGATATATGATTTGAGAAAAAGAAGCGTGTTCTTCAATAAAAAGAAGAGTGTTAAACTTCTTTCAGACCTGAAAGAAACTGTATTCCTATTTCTTTAGCTTGTGTCTGTGTCTGCACCCTGCCCATAGGAGCCCTGCCCCACACTTTTCTGAAAAGGAAGACACCACAGACAGACCCTTCAGAGAACTCCCGCAGACTCCCATCCCCCTCCCACCCCAGGACTCTCCCAAGGGTGCAGGCAGGGGAAAATCCTTCACACTGCAGCCTCCAAGCCCCCACACATGGGTGCAAACAAGCAAGATTGTTCAGCAGCTACATCCAGCCTCTGAGACTTGCTGCTTCAGAGACCTCTCAGAGAAGGGAAACCTGCTGCTCCTTCCCTCTTTCAGAAGCCTGCCTTCTGCAAACTTCTTCTGCATGCAAGGGCTCTCAGTTGGCACCAAAGGCCCTGGAGAGCCTTCAAACTGTAACCCCTACTACTGACCTCTTCGCTGGCACCCCAAAGCCTGCCGAGAGCACAGAGCTGTAATGCTCACAGCTTCTGTTGGTTGGCATCATACTACCACAGAAGGGTTCAGATGAACTTTTTTTTTTTCTTACTCTCTTGAAGCACTGCCAGTCCATTGTGTTTTGAGAGAAACCCCTAGGTGGAAACAAGGCATTTCAAAATGGGCCCTTGCTCTCTGGCCTGGAATTCACTCTGAAGCCTAAGCTGGCTTCACACTTGCGGTCCTCCAGCATAGCCTCCTCAGAGCTGGGATTACAAACCACCAAGTTCAGTTCCTGTTTCTTCTCAAAATTGATTTACGCACCGTGAAATTAGTGTTTGCAAACACAAAGCATGTTAACAGTAGAAAATTGGGGGAGGTATTTATTTATTTTGAGAGCCTGATAGTTCTTAACTGTCTTAATTTTGCAGCTAGACTGTCTTCTCATGAAAAAGCTTGACATTTATTTTTCTCTGCAGAGGTTTTGAGGAATTCATTGTACAGCATCATTTAGATGAGACAGTCAAAAGCAGTGTTGGCACTATAAAGTAGTGGTTCTCAACCTTCCTAACGCTGTGACCCTTTAATACAGTTCCTCGTGCTGTGGTGATCCCACCATAAAATTATTCTTATTGCTACTTCATAACTGTACTTTTGGTACTGTTATGAATTGCAGTGTAAATGTCTGTGTTTTCTAATGGTCATAGACAACCCTTGTGAAAGCATTATTCTAACCCTTTAGGGGCAGCACCCCACAGGTCGAGAACCACTGATCTAGAGGGCATTTATTACTCAACCTTTGTTCCAGTAAAAGCACAGGGATTTGGGTGTGACTTTTTTCTTACCTAGTGTAGCAACTTCCTCCAAACTGAAGCATTGCATCCTGGAGGAAGCTCATTAAAACTCAGGAAATACTTTAAGATTCAGGAAGTAAACAATTCTCAAGAAGTCTGAAAACTGAATTTACCACATGTGCCAAAGTTTTATAAAGAGTAAGGGCTGCTGAGGAGAGGACACTCCCCAGCTTGTAGAGCTACCTGCAAGAAGGTAGAAGCTCTAGGCTTCTGCTTTCGTGCGCGCCTGGGCCTTTGCTGATGGAACTGCCTTTGAGTCACCGGTGTTCCTGGAAGTGACCCCTCACCTCTGCTCCTGTAAGTACTCCAGCAGGTCATTTGCTTACACAGTTGGTCTCTGGTGGTAGTGTAACTTCAGTTCGCGTCAGTGTCCTGTCTAGAGACGGCATTTGTTCAAGTTTCTACGCCAATGTTAGAATCACTTTGGCCCACTTCCACCTTCCAGAATACTAACTGCGTTCGGTGTTCAGTAGACACAGAGTTTCCTTTTAATTTCCCTGAAAAATCATTCACTCAATAAGTACCTACCAAGGGACCACGGTTCATATACAATTGTATCAAATGCCTTTCTAGATAGGATTAAAGGGAGGCAAGGAGGAACAGAGGAGAGGGAAAGGAAAGAGTAAATGAGACTGAAGTATATTCTTTGATTTCTAGCCTCGTTTTCCTGAGAGTGGTATGACATCCTGGTCGGTGTGTATTTATGGATCTGCCTCTCATAAGTCACCTGACTCAGTTTTCTCTGACTGTAATACATGACCATGATTGTCGGTTTAAGCGGTATTTGACTGCGCTGTGGATGCCTGTGTGGTTAGCAGAATCTTGTTTCTGACTGTGTCTGTGAAGATGCGACCAGAATAGATTAGCATTTGAGTCTATAGACTGAGTTAAAATTACATTCACCAATGAAGGTGGACGCCATCCAAAACTTTAATGGACAGACAAGAATAAGAAGGTGGAAGAGGTGCTAAGTCTCTGTCTGAGATAGGCTGTCTATCTTCTGTTGCCTCCAAGTCTTTGAGCCTTCAGGGCTGCAAGTTTGAATAGAACTATACCACATTTTCCAGTTTAGAGGCAGTAGAAATGGGTATCTTAGCCCCCAGTCCTTCATAATAAACATCTTTCTCTATATTCAGATAGGCCATGTCTAGAACCTATTGATTCTTTTCACCGGGTGAACCCTAATATAATGAGATTGACGGGGTGACTGTCCTAACTCCCTTCAGCTGCTTCAGAGATTCTGCTGCAGGTCCTTAGACTTTCTTCTGCGTGGTGGATCGGTTTCTGCTGAAACCTGCCTAGAAACTGTGTAGTTACCAACTGTCACTTCTCCTTGGCTTCTGTGGTAATGGCTGAAATACATAACTTATAAACTCTAGGTGTCACTGTGAATGGGCATTTAGTAAAATTTGATGTTAGGAATTGGATGATATTGCCTCTGAAAATTAAAATAATCTCACAGTCACCAAAGACTTCCATGTACCTGGAACCTTTCACATTGTCATTTCCAGAGCTCAAAGCTGAAAAGATAAACCTTTTGTATTTTTCCAACTTGTGAGCCCAGAGAACATCAATCAAATTATTATTACCATCACAGATAATAAGATATCGGTATCTGTTCAGTTCTACGGAAGGGGATGCAATGACTAATCTCCGGCCTGAATAGACTTTGTTTTGACCCATTACATAGTCCGTCCTATTTGTCTGAGTTTTCTACTCTTGCCATGATAAGTTACCAGGCACCTGTGACTAGAGACAGCAAAGTGTTTGTCACATGGGTTAGGCTTCTGACATGACTCCTATGAGGCTAAAACCACGGGGAAGCTGCGTCCCTCGCTGGTGGCTTTAGGAGGGGATTCATGTTTCATTGCCCTTTCCAGCTTCTCAAAGGCACCCACATAACTCACCCATAACTCTTTATCCCTTCTTCTACACTAGTTCCCCATGGTCCTCTCACCCTGGGGTTAGCCTGGACTCGGTTGGATACTGCAGGATAACATCAATTCAAGGTCTTTAACCCTAACCACACCTACAAAGTCCCTTTAGCCATGAAGACAGAATATTCACTGCCTCCGTGTTCTGAGATTAGAACACGGAGAGTCACTATTCTGTCCTTCCCATCATAAATTCATAGGTAAAACGACTCCAAATCATGACTCTCAGTTGTCATTCTTACCGCTTAAAGATTATTCACAAACATATAAAGTGTGCTTTATCATGTATTCTAGTACCAGCTCCTGAGTAGACTGTTTTTTCGCTAAAGCGTTCTTCAATCAGATCTGGTGTTGTAACACAGGTTTGCAATCCCAACACTCAAGAAGAGGAGGCACAAGGATCATTCGGCCTTGTTAGTCTTAGCTATCCAGTGTGTTCCAGCCACGCTAGCTTTATAGCAAGAACCTGTCTCCTAAAAACAAAACCAAAGTCAAACAAAAAGAAGTCCTCATGGAAAACACCATGAGAAAGTTAGACTTACTATCCTTCTTAACCCTTCTAGTAGCTGGGTATCCTTGATAGGTAACCCGAATTTAACTAAACCGTTTGCTGTTACGTAACAGCTTTGCGATCTTAATGACTATGAATTTAACATTCACATTTGGTAGCAGTCCAGAACAGTGTCTACTGAGGACTTCAAATAGCTTCACATTTATTGAATTCCCTGTTTGAAGCAACACGAAATTATCTTTATTTTACAAGCAGTTAAACTAAATCTTCCAGTATTACAGAGCTAGTACTTACACGTGTTCCCCTCTTGCATGATTTAGGAAGCTGGATTAGCTATAGAAGCATACAATTATGTCTTACCCTTCCCATGAATCCCTTCTGTTGTAGAAATCCTGTCCGGTATTTATGTGGCAGTCTTGGACCATTACAAAAATTATAAAACATAATTAACATAATCCAAAAGGGCCTAAACAGAAGCATACTGGCTACCAAAACAAAGTGATGAGGAATATTTTTATGATATCGTCAAGCTTGCGTTTCTCCATCAGTGTTTTCTGGCTCTCCCCAAGCCTATTGTATGGTCAGTAGCATCTTGCTGCGGAGCAAGATACAACGGGAAGGCAGCATTCTGAGGAGTGCCTTGTCACTGTTCCACCAGGACTGGAGCACAGACAGTCTTTAATAATTACTGTTATATTCTTCTAAAACTCTCTGTAAGCAGTTTAGATCTTTTTGCTCCTCCGGCCAAATGAAGAGACGCACAGTCCAAAGAGAAAAGCTGAATAATTCACTTCTCTCCTGGGAGGAGCCAATGTTAATCTCTCTGGATTATTTGCGGAACCTTTGCAGAACCTGGGCGTCACGACTTTCTCTACTTCACTTTGGCTGTGCAGGCTTCGCCGTTTCACCAGCGTAAAAATGGTTTCAGACCTTTGAGTGACATGAGAAAAAGTCCAAATGATGAAATACATAACACCAAGATCATTGTTTTGTTCAAGACCAGCATCTTCTAAATCACTTAGCGCTCTGCGCCCTGTCTGCTGGGAGGCTCGGGAAAGGAGAAAGAACCCAGAGGCTGCTACTTAAACATTTCTGTTTTGTTTTATTCCATGGTTCTGTAACAACCTTAAAGTCTGTCCATAAAGATAAATAACAAATAAACCATATATAAAATAGGGTTTGGAAAGAATGTGCAGTGGTTAGGAACCTTTGCTGCTCTTACAGAGGACCTAGTCCAGTTCGGCACTCACATGGTAACTCACACGTCCATTTGTAATTCCAGTTCCAAAGGATACAGCATCCTCTTTGGACCCTCACAGGCACAGGTGTGCATATGGGGAACATACATACATGCAGACCAAACACTCACACATCCATGAAAATAAATGCATTCTTAAAAAAACATAAAAATGATTTTTCCTAATACTAGCTTTGGTTTGGTTTATATCACTCTTGGTTGGATAGTGTAAGTTATTTCTCTTTTGGAAAAGTTTCCTGCCATACACAAATACTTCACTTAAGAAAGATCAAGAACCCAGAGACTATACTTACTCTCTATCAAAGGTCTTTTGTGATTGATTCTAGACCTATTAGATTATGTCTAACTTGTTCATTGAAATCAGCCTAATTTTCTCACCATATAGCGAGATGTACAGGGGAGTCTACTGCCTACTTTTGGCACAGTACAACCTTTCAAAGCATCCTGTCTGTGTGTGCTTCTGAGGAGGAGGGTACCAGTAGCAGCCTACATTAATCCACAAATTAAACTCTCCTGATCCTAGAGAGCATGAGATAAAATTTCATTTGCTCTGGTTCCTTTCCTTTTAATGCCTTTAGCTGGGGTGTACATAGCTCAGTGGAGTCCCCCAAATTCCTTATTCTCCCAATGCAGATTTGCTTCGCCCTTTTACTTTAGGCATATCTGAGCTCTGCAAACACTTGTGTTTCAGCCAACACTGTTTAATCACCTTATGACACTACGAGAAGGTGAATGTTCACGGAGATTAAACAACTTGGCAAAAGTATTTGGTTAGTTAGTGGCACCAGGCCAGATTCAAAATCCAAGTAGTCTGGCTTCCTGGAAGACGTACTGTATTCATGTCACTACCTTTTCACTCTTTTTATCAGAAGCTAACATTTGTCTGGGGGGGGGGGGCTGGTGTATTTCTTAAGCTTTAAAAGCTGCATCGTGGTGCTTAAAACTTTTCTCCGTGCTCCAAGTTTCAGCGTCTTACTACGTGCTATCTTGGTGTTTGAGCTCCTCCTCCACCTTCTCACTGCCTTCTGAGCTGTTCAGAGAGCTGGTGGGGAAAGGGGAAATAACAATATTACATAACAGGAAAAGGAACCTGAAAGATGAATAAGAATGAGTGGATAGTGGGGTTACAAGAGGGGACAACTCACAGAGGGACAGAGAAGGGACACCTGGGACATCAGGTGGATTCTCCGAGGTTCATCACGCCAATGCTACAGAACCGTAAAGTTGGCAAAAGTAATCAGCTGGCTCCTGCTTCCATTCAATCTTATTAATAAACACAGCATTTTATATTCTCTCTCTGTTTACCCCAGACTGAAAATAACTCACCAGACACCATAGGTTTGGATTTTTTTTTTCCTTTTTAAACTCTGACAATTTCACAGGGGCACAAAAACCCAAATGAGTGGATAACACTTCTACTAGAAGCCAAATGTTATGAAATAAAAATTCCAGGACCATGTATGGGATACCTCCCTATAAGTCTTGGTCAGGTAACCCCAGAGGCGGCCACCATTATAGGCTAATGCGAGGGCCCTTGGTTTGCAAGGTTCCATTGATTGAAGACAGCACCTGCTTGGGTTGTAGGACACTGAGAAGTGATACCGGATCGGTGCTGGGAGTTTCTCAGTGCCTGCAGGGGAGAATGCAATACAAGCAACTGGGGGGTAGGGGCGGTCATCACTGTTCCTATCCAGGTAGAGACCCCAGGAGCCACAATAATCACTTATCTGACAAGATGTACCCATTGGTGCAATAGTAGCAGGCTAATTATAGGAGTAACGAAGCACTTTCTGATTAGATTTAATAGGTCAAAAAGTCCTCCCTAGAATAGCTCCAATTTCAGAACCGGCACATTTTACGTACGATCCACTTCACTTATACTAAGTTTTATTTCTAAAGTGCCTGGCATTACTCCCTTTCCCTACTCATACCTGTAGGTTTCTTAAGGACAGTACAACAAGTCTAAGAAAGTAACAAGATGGAGTTCTTGCTGTCAGTGATGAGGGCCAGTGCAATCAACAGGTACACGCCTGTAATTTCAGCATGCCTGCTCCAAGAGGGGCAAGACAGGAGGATTACTGTGACTCCAGTCTACCCAAGCAAATTCGAGTTTCAAATTCAGGAAGAGACCCTGCCTCAAACAAATGGGTGGAGTGTGATAGAAGACACTGACACCCTCTTCTGACTTGTTTGCACACACACACACACACATATACTTGCACAGACATGCACATACACACTAAAGAAATAAAAAATACCAACCAAAGATTACAATTGAAAAAAGTCAACTCAAGGAAGCAACAGTGAAGACAATGATTCTATATAAACAGTGGTAATTCATCATTTATAGTAAAAATTTCTGTGACTTAATATAATGCAGTTGTTCCTTTATCTACTATACAAGAGGGATGTTAATAGAAGCCATTTTAATTCCTAGAAACTGATCTCTGGAACTTGCCGACTGCTAATCCAGTTGAAATAAGGCAAATCCTAAATTCAAAGAGACACCCCATCTCAGAGGAATAAGGCAGAGAGCAATGATGATATTTCGTATTTATTAAATAAACATTATAACTGCTTTATTGGCTGGTGCCAACTTGCTAGGTCTCTGAGATGATCTCCTAAGCCTGGTGTATAATGTGAATGGACGCATCTCTATCAAGGGTTCACTCCCTTGAGCACAGTGTAGGTGAAGATTGTTGGGGGTTTTGATTGATTTTTGTTTTTGTTTTTTTTCTGCATGGCTACAGGTCTCAACAATTCTGTTTGAAGGGAAACTAGAAGAAGGGTGTAAATAATGCATTACTTATTGTTTCTACTGTGCTTATAAAACAGCAGACACACAGTTCTGCCTTTAAAGTCCTGAGCACTTTATTGAGATATGATACACAAGCTATACAGTTTACCCTGTCATCAGTACAATTCTTTCTACTGGCATTTATTGATTGGCTATTAAGTCCCAAGCAAAAAACACATATTGTTTCATTTAACCTTCATTTAAAAAAAAAGTCCTTAACAGGGGCCAGAGATAGAACTCAGCTGGTAGAGTGCTTATATAGCAAGCATGAAGTCCTGGGCTTGAACCCCAGCACAGATAAACATCCCAGCACTGGGGAGATGGAAATCAAAGGACTGAAGAGGTTTAAAGTCAGGTTTAAAGTCATCCTCGGGTAGCTGACCTGAAATACATGATATCCCCTCTGTTTTAAAAACTCTAGGCTGGCAATTTGGCTTAGCAGGTATAATCATGATTACCTGAGTTTGATCCCTTGGTGTGGTGATATTTTGTTTGTGCTTTAACGAATACAGATTGCCTAATGGTCAGAGTGCGGATCTAGCCACTAGTTAGCCATAGAGGACAGGCAGTGGTGGCACACACCTTTAATCCCAGTACTAGGGAGCTGGAGGCAGACCGATCTCTGCGAGTTCAAGGCCACCCTGGACTACACTAGATTGATCCAGTCTCAAAGAGAAACAGAGCCAGGTGGTGGTGCCTCATACCTTTAATCCCAGTACTCAGGAGTCCAATGCCTTTATCCTCAGCACTAGGGAGATGGAGACAGGGAGGGAAATGGCTGGGCACATTGAGGAATATAGGTGGGGGGAGACGGGAGCTCATGCCATTCAGCCTGAGAATTTGTGGAGATAGGATACCCCATTCAGTCTGAGGGTTTTATAAAAGTAAAAACTAGTGGCTGACTTCTTTGCTTCTCTGAGCTTTCAGCTTTCACTGCTTAATATCTAACTCTGGGTTTTTATTATTAAGATCAAGTAGAAATCGAGCTAAACCCTGGGACCAGATAGTGGAGAGAACTGATTCCTGCAAGTTGACCTGTGGTCTCCAGGGTGGGCTGCTGTATGGACACACTCAGCTCATACAGAAAATAAATGTAATGCAAATTTTAAATATCCTTTTATATAGGTACTATACAACTTAAATTTCTAAATAAACTACAGATTAAGAATGGGCGCCTAGAGGTCTAAAGTCGTGTGTTTGTGGATACAGTATATTCTTTTCATATCACGTTGCCTCTCCTTGAAAATGTACTTTCTTCTATTTCATAGAGTGGAGGTGGTGGTTGGGGGTGTCCTTGAGAATGTCCATAGTTAGAAAAATTCCGTTTTATCAGGAGTTGTCAAATAACATAAGAAATGGCAGTAAATGGAAATGACTTTTAGACTCTCAATGAGGTTGAAGTAAAACAAAAAAGAACCGTGCAGAAGCAAGCAGTTGTAATACTGACACCCACAGAGCAGGACATTAATATACACGTGGCTTAGTTTGCTTTCTCTTGCTGGGATGAAATCTTGTGACCAGAAGCAACTTGGGAAGGAAAAGTTTGGGTGGCTCACTCTGGAGGAGGCCAAAGTGGGAACTCAAGGCCAGAACCTAAAGACAGAAACTGAGCAGAAACCATGGACTAATGCTGCTTACTGGCTTGCTTTGATGGCTTTGTTCAGCTTGTTTTATTATACAACTCAGGACCACCTGCCCACAGAAAGCTTCCCATTTTGGTCATTAAAGAGAAAAATGTCCCAGCATTCAGGGATGCAGAGGCAGGCGAATCTCTGTGAGTTCAAGGTCAGCCTGGTCTATAGAGTGAGTTCCAGGACAGAGATATATAAAGAACCCTGTCTCTAAAAATTAAAACCAATCAACCAAACCAAAACCAATATATATATAAATGCTTTATTGACTCGCCCACACGCTGTTCTGATGGAGGCAATTCCTTAACGTTTCCCTCCTCCCAAATGACTTTAGTTTCTGTCAACATCACAACCCTACTTTCAGTGGAAGGATTCAGAACTGCCTGCTAACACAGCCACACCCATCTTTACAGCATTCCCACCAACGAGGCTACATTAAAAATGGAGGGACCATTGCCCATTTTTAACTTCTCACATACAGCTATACTGGGGTGGCTATCTTCATTCTTGGAAACAGCAGTTTTGCCACAATTAATTTTGAAACATTTGTCTCTTTATATTTGGAGAATGGTAATAGACACAAATACAGAATTTAAAATCCACATACATACACACACAAAAATTATTTAAAATATTTAAGCTTTTACGGAGTTTATACCTTAATTCAGTCTTTCATGGAAATATTTGGAACCTGGGCAATAACCTTGCATTCCCAGTTGCCATGTAACCTTGGCATCTGATTTTTAAGAAACCCAATTTCCTCATTTGTAATTTTTGCCTTCAAATGCAGCTTATATTATCTAGTCTTAACTTCGGGAATATACACCATGAAAATTATATGAAGAAAATGCGAATTTAACTGATGAGGCTTTTCTCACTTTTTAAAAAAATGCCCTTCAATACCTGGCCTTATTTAATACATCTTCCGCTGCCTGTTCACCTAGAAAGTGGGACATGTTTTACACTGCAGCTACGGGGGTGAGGATGTGTGTTTGCGCGCCACACACAGGAGGCGTCACAAAGAACCTATAAAAGGTATGAAAAGGTATGCAAGATCCCTACGGGCTGCAAGAAAGGGAGAACTGGGAGGAACACAGGGAGGGCACTGCGTCCAAACCTTGGTTTCAGAGCGGTCTTTGTGTCAATATTCAGTGTGCTTGGGCTCTGCGGCTGGAAAGGAAAAGCCCCAAGTCACGGAACTGCGCGCCCTCTGCCCTGTCTCAGCCGGCCCCGCCCTCCGGCGGCAGTGAACCCGCAAAAATGGGTCTGGAGGCGGCTGCCACCCGAGAATGGCCAGCCGGGCGAGGAGGGCCCGACCA